AAGAAGGATGGCTTGATTCTCCTACTTCCTTTTGCTTCTATGCTACCTCTTGTCTGATGTCCTTTCCAGTGAATAATGGCCACCTTGTCTGGGGCCCACACAGCGTCTAAGAGTTGTAAGATTTCTTCTTTAATTTCTTTCCCTCCAGCAGTTAAGAGTCCCCTTTCTTTGTAAATGGCTCCATGGGCATGTAATGTAGCAAAGGCATACTTTGAGTCAGTATAGATGTTAACTGTCTTTCCTTTGGCTACTAATAGTGCTTTAGTTAGAGCTATTAATTCTGCTTTTTGTGCAGAGGTCCCGGTAGGGAGGGCCTGTGCCTCTGAATTTAGAGTCACCACTGCAAACCTGGCTTGGCAGACCCCTTCTGATATAAACTTGCTTCCATCTGTGAAATATTCAATAGCTGGGTCCTTAAAGGGTTGGTCTCTTAAGTCTTTCTGGCTTGAGAACACCTCATCTACTATGTCTACACAATAGTGTTGGGGAAACCGGTCTTGCAATTTGGGCATTTCTACAGGCAACAGGGTAGCCAGGTTGAGTATTCGTGGTTTTTAAAGTTATGTATGGATTTCCACATAAGAGCCCTTGATATCTTAACATTCTTGGATTAGATAGCCAGTGATATCCTCTTTGCTCCATTAAGGTGATCACTGTGTGTGGCACCCGTATTATTAGCTTTTGTCCTAGAATCAGCTTCCCAGCATTTTCTGCCAGCATGGCAGTGGCAGCTAATGCTTTTAAGCAGGGGGGCCACCCCAGGGCCACAAGGTCTAACCGCTTTGATAAATAGGCTACTGGTCGATACCATGATCCTAATGTTTGAACTAAAACTCCTGTAGTCATTCCTTTTCTTTCATGGACATAGAGAAAGAAAGGCTTAGTCAGGTCTGGCAATCCCAGGGCTCAAGCTTGGCTTAAGGCCTTTTTGATCTCATTAAAGGCCTTCTCCTGCTCATCACCCCATAGGAGGGACTCTTTTTCTCCCCCACTTTGTGGCTTCATACAATGGCTTTGCCATGAGTGAAAAGTTCGGCATCCAAGTACATCAAAAGCCTGCTGCCCCTAAAAACTCCCTTACTTGTCGCCGGGTGACAGGAGTGGGGAGTGCACGTACGGCTTCCTTCTGCCCACTGCCGAGTTCGCACTGCCCTTGGGCTACTAGGAAACCTAGATATCTTACTCTTTTTGCACAGACCTGAGCTTTTTCCTGAGATACTTTGTAACTTGCCTTCCACAGAAGGTGAAGGAGATCTTTGGTGCCCTGGAAGCAATCTTCCTTGATAGGTGCTGCAAACAAACAAACGATCATCAATGTATTGTAACATACACACTTGTCATTTGGTGGGACAAAAGCCTTAAGGTCTGATGCTAGTGCCTCTTCAAAGAGAGTGGGGGAGTTGTTGAACCCTTGTGGGAGCCTGGTCCAGGTGAATTGTATTCCTCCCCACTGGAATGCAAAAATAGGCTGACTTATTGGAGCTAGCCTGAGGCAAAAAAAGGCATCTTTTAAGTCCAAACAGGTAAACCAGGTGGCATGAGCAGGAAGGTGGCTCATCAGTGTATATGGGTTGGGCACCACCACATGTAAGGTAACAGTAACTTTATTTACGGCCCATAGGTCTTGCACAGGCCAGAACCCACCAGACGGTTTTTGCACTGGTTAAGAGTAGAGTATTCCAGGGTGACTTGCATTTCTTTATGATACCATGTTCTAGTAGCCGATTTATGTGCTTGGTCATTCCTCACACTGCCTCTGTAGACACCTGGTACTGGGGAATGCGTACTGGAGTTGCACCTGGAACTAACTCTGCTACCACTGGTGCCTGGTTTATGACCAATCCCGGAGGATTGTCCTCTGCCCACACCTCAGGTATTTCAGTGACTAGTTTGTCAAATATTCTGTCCATAAATTCAGACAGCCTGTATGCCTCTTTTATGTATAGCCTCCATTCCTCAGTCTCGGGGAGGGTAAGAGTTAACATCATAACTTTTGGTCAGCTTAGATCCAGAGTCATGTTTCCTTCTGGCCTGAAGGAAATTTGTGCTTGTAGTTTCTGAAGCAAGTCTCTCCCTAACAGGGGCACTGGACAATTTGGCAGATATAAGAATTCATGTTGGACTTCTTGTCCTCCAATGACACACCTTCTGGATTGACAGGCCTTTTCTCTGATACTCTGGTTGCCCCAACTATAGTAGCATAGGTTTTAGATAGCAGCCCAACGGGCTGTGTCACTACCAAGTGTTCAGCACCTGCATCTACCATAAAATCCATCTGTTGGCCCCCCACTTTCATAGAGACCAGGGGCTCCTGGAGGCCTACAGAGATGGAGCCTGGTCTGTCTCAGTCCTTATATTCCTCAACTCCTGCTAAGCTGACCAGATCGGCATCCAGCTTTAGAACAACGGCTAGGGCTGCAGGCCTTGGGCAGGCGTCAGGTCCCTAGCTGCTGCTTTCTTCTTTTCTCTTTCTGGACATTCATCCTTCCAATGCCCTTTCTGTTTGCATTCTTGCACATTGATCGCTCTCAAGCCTAGGCCGGCCTTCAAACCCTGGCCTAGCTTGTCCTCTACTGTGACCACAACCATGTCTGCGTCCTTTCACAAAACCAGTCTCTCTTTGAACTAGAGCAGCAGCCAACAAATCAACCTTTTCCTTGGCTTTGTGCTTTGCCTCTTTCTCGGCTTCCTCCTCTGGCTAATACTAATACCTTAGTAGCTACTTGAATAAGCTGGGTAATACTCATAGCCTCAAAACCTTCCAACTTCTGAAGCTTCCATCTAATGTCACCTTGTGCCTGGCCCACAAATGCCACATTAACCATGCATTGATTCCCTACAGCCTCCGGATCAAATGGTGTATAAAGCCGGTATGCTTCACAGAGTCTTCATAAAATTCACTGGGACTCTCATCAGCCTTTTGGCGTACCTCTGAGACCGCTCCCAAATTCGTTGCCTTTTTCCCTCCAGCCTTCATTCCATTAAGGGGTGCCTCCCGATACCTCTGCAGGTTTTGCAATTCTTCTGCCTGGATTGGATCCCAATTTGGATCTGCTTCTGGGAACCTCTTCTGTGCATACTGCTTAACAGGTGCATTGCTTTCTAACCACTGTAAGGCTGCCTGAGTAATTCTCCTGGCATTCTTCTGTATTGAACAATATTAAAAGTAGCTGCTGAAAATCAGGCCAGGTAGGGTTATGAGTCAGAAAGATGGGCTGAAGTCTATGACAGCCTGGGGCTTCTCGGTATAGGAGGGTGTAAGCTGTTTCCAGTTTAGGAGGTCAGTGGTGGAGAAAGGCTGGTAAACGAAAAGGCGTTGCCCTCCTTGTACATTATTCTGTTTATCATAATAAATTTGGCTTTGTGTCTCCCAGAGAAACATCTGCAAGGCTCGGGTCGGCGGGGTGCTTCTTTAGTCTTTATAGGTAGGGGCTCTGACTTTTCCCTGTGGGGTGACGCCTGAGGCTCACTCTCCTCTGAGCTTGATTCCTCAGGGGCCGTTTGTGCGGGCTTGCAGAACAGGCTTTTCCTGTTTTCCTTGCGTCTTTTCCTTTCCTTCTACTGTCCCTTTGGGTTCTAGTGGCAGGATCTCGGCTCACTGTAAGCTCCGCCTCCCGGGTTCACCCCATTCTCCTGCCTCAGCCTCCCGAGTAGCTTGGACTACAAGCGCCTGCCACCGTACCTGGCTAATTTTTTGTATTTTTAGTACAGACGGGGTTTCACCGTGGTCTCGATCTCCTAACCTCGTGATCCGCCCGCCTCGGCCTCCCTTTAGGTTCTTTTACTGCCTCAGATCTGGCACAAACTACCAGGGTCTTACAGTAAGTCTCAGAATACTGTGAGGCAAATTTGAAAGACGCTCAGCCAGGAGTCAATGTATGGGAACTGGTCCGGGTACCCAGGCTATTCTCTGGCTCCGGTTATTATCCTAAACACACAGTCAATTATCTATCTGTCTATCGTCCCTTCGGCGGGTCACCCAACATTAAAAGAAATCCAATCTATTTCACAGAGAGTTCTCAATCTCGGAGGGATTAATTTAACTCCATAATCTCCATTAAAACCTTTCTTGAAATTTTCCCAACATACAATCCAATGGAGTAGGCTTTGATGCTTTTCCTCCCATTTTGCCCTTTGTGATGTGCTTTCACTCTCACTTTCATTCCTGGACTGACCAGACTGGGTCCTATTATGGGAGGGGGAGGTTCGGGCACTGCTTAGCTAGGAGAGTACCTTATTCCCACTACAGCCTGCTGCAGCTGTAGGGCAGTTCCTGTTTGCCGGATCCGGTGTCCTAGGTCTGGCTCGTCCCACACTGGGAACACACAGTCTGCGCTAAGAGATCTGTGTCTCCCCACATCACGCCCCGCGTTGGCCTCTGCCAAGACTGTCTCTTTCACACAATTTCATGCACCTCCCCCGTTCCCAGTTGCTGACCTTTAGTTAAAGTGGCGAAGCCCCTCTTGCCATGTTCAGTTTCCTTTCACCTCCCCCATTCCCAGTTGCTATCCTTTAGTTAAAGCGGCGAGCACCTCTTGCCACTTTGGTTCCCTTTCCTGACCAATCTGCGAGCCTCTCTCACATCCTGCATCAGTTAGGGTGTGAGTTTCATCCGAATGAATGGGTCTCTCCCATTGTCTCCAGCCCCTCTGGGTCAGACTAGTTTTAGTTCTCACCCCCTGGAAGGTGATCAGGCTCCCCTTCCGTCCTTATGGGATAGGTCCTGCCTTAGGGCCCAAACCTTACCATGGTTCAGATGGCTGCTCCTGTCACTGTCCAGCAGTCCATTTTTACTGGTTCTGTTGCGCTGTCGGGAAGGGCACTGGGGCCGGGGAGGGCAGATCCCCTTCCAGGCCGAAAGTCGGCGCCAAGGGTCCCAGGTCTCCCCTGCCTCAGAGCCTCAGTCCCACAGGCAAAAGAGACAGAAATCTGCCCTCTCCAGTCCCAGATTTTGGCACCAGAAATGTTGCAGAAATGAAGGGACAGGAGAAACCAAAGAATGGGATGCAGTAAAGTTTTTATTTTTAGGTGTACACCAGCTCAGTGGAATTGCATCCAGAAAGTCTGAGCATAGAACAGAGAAAACAAATGCCTTTTAAGCATTTTGAGGCGGGAATTACGTGAAGCAGGAAGCAGGCTTACAGAAGCGAGAACAAAGGCCATTAATTATCTTGTGATACTTTTGCAACATATCTTACATCTCTGGGAAAACTTGGTTTGCAACTTACTCTTATCTGTCTTGTTGAGAGGTGACAATGTGCCAGCAGCCCTGGCTCTTGGCGCCTCCTTGGCCTCGGCGTCCACTCTGGCGGGGCTTGAGGAGCCCTTCAGCTTGCCACGGCACTGTGGGAGCCCCTCTCTGGGCTGGCCCAGGCTGGAGCTGGCTCCCTCTGCTTGAGGAGATGTGTGGAGGGAGAGGTGCGGGTGGGAACAGGGGCTGTGCGCGGTGCTTATGGAACAGCGTGAGTTCCAGGCGGGCTTGGGCTCTGAGGGTCCAGCACTCGGAGGGGCCGGCCGGCACCACCACCCACGGGCAGTGAGGGGCTTAGCAGCTGGGCCAGCAGCTGCTGAGGGTGTGCCAGGTCCCCCAGCACTGCTGGCCCACCCACACCACGCTCAAATTCTCACCGGGCCTCAGCCGCCTCCCTGTGGGGCAGGGCTAGGGACCTGCAGCCTGCCATGCCCAAACCCCCCTCCACCGTGGTGGGCTCCCGCGTGGCCGGAGCCTCCCCGATGGGCACCGCCCCCTGCTCCACGGCGCCCAGTTCCATAGACCGCCCAAGTGCGGAGGAATGCAGGCCTGCAGCGCGGGACTGGCGGGCAGCTCTGCCTGCGGCCCTGGTGAGGGATCCACTAGGTGAAGCCAGCTGGGCTCCTCCTGGGTCTAGTGGGGACTAGGAGAACCTTTATGTCTAGCTAAGGGATTGTAAATACACCAATCAGCACTCTGTGTCTGGCTCAAGGTTTGTAAATACACCAATGAGTACTCTGTATCTAGCTAATCTAGTGGGGACTTACAGAACTTTTCTGTCTAGCACTCTGCGTTTAGCTAAAGGATTGTAAAGGTACCAATTAGCACTTGGTGTCTAGCTCAGGGACTGTAAATGCACCAATCTGCACTCTGTCAAAATGGACCAATCAGCTCTCTGTAAAATGGACCAACCAGCTCTCTGTAACGTGCTCTGTAAAACGGACCAATCAGCAGGATGTGGGTAGGGTCAGATAAGAGAATAAAAGCAGACTGCCCCAGCCAGCAGTGGCGACCAGGTCCGGTCCCGTTCCACCCTGTGGAGCTTTGTTTCTTCACTCTTTACAATAAATCCTGCTGGTGTTCACTGTTTGGGTCCAAGCTGCCTTCATGAGCTGTAACACTCACCGCGGAGGTGGTTTCAGGTTATTCCTGAAACCAGTGAGACCACAAACCCACCGGAAGGAAGAAACTCTGAACATATCCGAACGTCAGAAGGAACAAACTCTGGACTCACCATCTTTTAAGCACTGTAAAAGTTCTTACACTCACAATGAGGTCTGTGGCTTCATTCTTGAAGTCAGTCAATTCCGGACACACTGTGAGACCTTGTAGCTGTGCAGGGAAGAAAGAAAACACAAACTTAACAGAGCCCACAAAATATTTGAAGGGCAGATACAGTTAATGTTTCTTGGGACTGGCAGTTAATATCCTCCTTTAACTTCAGGAGGGCTGAAATTCTTTTCAGCTTTGGTTAATACAGCAATTCATTCTATGAGCTTTTATTTCTCTTACTATAATTTTACTATTAGTACTTATAAGGGAGGAGACCACCCCCCCATATTGTCTTATGCCCAATTTCTGCCTCCAAAGAAAGAAAAAGTAAAAACTAAAAGGCAGAAATGAAATCCACAAGCAGATAGCCTGGGGCCACACCCAGGGCCTGGTGGTTAAAGATCGACCCCTGACCTCATCGGTTATGTTATCTATAGATTACAGACATTGTATAGCAATGCACTGTGAAAATCCCTATCCTGTATTGTTCCGATTTCATTACCGGTACATTCTGCCCCCAGTCACGTACCCCTTGCTTGCTCAATCGATCAGGACCCTCTCACGCAGACCCCCTTAGAGTTGTAAGCCCTTAAAAGGGACAGGAATTGCTCGGTTCTTGACACAGGAGTCTTACTGATGGCCCTGGCTGAATAAACCCCTTCCTTCTTTAACTCAGTGTCTGAGGAGTTTTGTCTGCAGCTTGTCCTGCTACACTTATGCTATTATTCTATTATCTTCTTAATTTTCCACTTCATTAGGATAACAAATGGAGGCCGGGCTCCCATCCTCCTCCAGCACTCCAGGGCTGCCTGGCCCAGCAGGGATCCTCCACCTGGTTTCCGAGGGAATTCCCGGGAGGCCTTTCCAAAACACTCCCATTCCCTTCCACTAACTTCAGGGGCCAGGAATGGACACTCACTTTCCTCAGGCCTGCTGCCCTGCCTCGCGTTTGCAGTGCGCAGGAAACCGTGTGCCAGCAAGGGGCGCAGGCACGGCCAGCAGGGGGCGCCCGCGGACCTCCCAGTGAGCCAGCTGCCCAGAGCCGGAAGTGTCCCGGGTGCTAGGACTCCGAGGGGTCTGGGAGCCGCGCCAGGACCGGAAGTGTACGAGGCGGGAGCGCGCAGAAGACGCAGGCGGCCAGAGGAGGCCAGGGGAGTTCCGGTGCTAGGAAAGAAGGTGGGGATTTAAGTTCTGGGTGGGGCGCGGGTCCCACAACCGCTCGGAATTTGCCTCCTGGCTCCGCTCTGGAAGCTAAGAAGGGGCACAAGAAGTGGAGAGAGGGAACCTGAGAGCAGGGAAGCCAGTAGCCGGCGGGAGGAGCGCGCTGTTCCTCGGGTCGGAAGGAGCCGGTGCAGCCTTGACCCGCGTGCGGCAGGGTCAGCGAGGCCCCTGCGGTGCTTCGCCGCCGCCTTCCCCTCCGCAGTCACTGGCCCTCTGGGCCTCCCACAGGTCCAGCAGCGGGTACCGGCCCCAAGAGCGAGGGCGGGCTGTGAACTGGCATCACATCGCGTTCCCGCGGGGGCCCCCTTCCGCTTAGGCAGGGAACGGCCGGCATGGGACTGAGGTCTGTCCGCGAGCGCGGTGCCCCGGAGACCCGGCTTCTGGAAGGTGCTGAGGCCTGCCCTTCGGGCCCAGAAGCAGGGCGGGGAGGCGCGGGGTCTGGAGTCTGCAGGACCTGGCTGCGAATCCAACCAGCTGATTTCAAACTTCTCTGTGATCTTCTGCAAGTTAACTCAGTCTCAGTTCCTCGTTTGCGAAATGTACTTAATATGCACCCCAGGGTGAACCAAATTTGTCCACATAGATTGCAGCAGTGCACTTGCGAGGCGCCTTAGGGAGTAGGAGTCACTAATATCAATGAGTTTTGACAGAAATGAGGGGGCATTGGCAAAGGTGTGCCCCGTGGCCATACAGGTTAGGAGGAGGGCCTGCTAATATTTTTTCTTAAGTTGTAAACAGCCCTCTGAATGAGCAATACATTATCAAATTGTGATTCAGAGAGCACTATCGCTGACTACTTTTTTCTGGGCATACCTCTGCTTCAGGAGCTTGTGGCTTAATTCCTAAGTGGAAGGTAGAGACCTAGGCCCTCTGAGTCACAATTCCATCTCTCTGGGTGAGGACTGAGCTCCAGGACTGCAGACTGGAGGCAGAACAATTGGGATAGGAAGAAGAGAGGCCAAACTAGATCAGAGTCTGGCGTGGGCTTCAGAGCCCACAGACTGGCACAGTTATGCTTCGTGGCCCCTATTGCTGGTTCAAGTTTGACCAATCAGAAATATCTTTAGCTTAAGGGCGGGGTGTTGGCCAATGAGACTTTATTGTGAAATAAAATGCCCTCAGTTTCATGTAACTGAGCCACCACAGAGGAGTGGAGAAATCGAGTTGACCAGGTGAGGGAGAGGCCATTAAGAGATATTTTAGGGATTAGATGGGCTGGGCATCCCGAGGACTGGCATTTGGGGTGGTAATGAGGAGGAACATTGGGGGCCTCCGCCTCTTCCTTTCCTCCTGTGCTGAGTCAGTCAGCACAGAGGCTGCAGGAGGTAGCTCTGGTTGGCTCTGGCTGCCTGTAGGGGGCACCGCTTTGCGGAGGTCAGAGGGCTCTCTCCTGAGCCGCTCTCATGCCCACAATCACGTCTGCCTGATGTCTGTGAATGGCCGTCTGAGTCTCCTGGGCCCTGCTCACCTTTTGGTCACCTTTGGCCTGCCCTGCACCGGCCGGTAACTGCTTGATGACTGGAGGTATTGGAATTCACTGAACTTTATTCTTTGTAGGAATCAAAGATCAACTCCCACTGAGGACAAATGGACCTGTAATTCCGGGTGTGACGAGAGAACGGGATTTACCTTCCTGAACTAAAAAGCAGGTCATTAAGCTTTGGCCCTGACTTTTCTTTGTGAGAAGGTACAGAGATGGAAACCTTACAATCCGAGACTAAAAAGAGGGTCCTTCCCTCATGGCTGACAGCCCAGGTGGCTACCAAGAATGTGGCACCAGCAAAGGCCCCCAAGAGGATGAGAATGGCAGCAGTGCCGGTGGCAGCAGCAAGGTGCGACAACTCTGGTCAGATAACTCCTGTGAATCTGGCGAGTGGAGCAGGGACCTCCACGACCTGGGCCAGGTCTTCCAGCGTAGGCAGAACAGCAAGATGGGCAGGTGTTTTCAGTCTGATCATCTCTTGAGCTTTTAGGAGGTGGAGGGGCTGTGGGCAGGAGGCAAAATGGGTTAAACCTCGAGGACAGGAACCCGCTTCTGCCTCTGCACTGGTGAGTGCTCTGCTGTCAGCACACACACAATGGGTTTTCCATGTCAGCCAATCTCTGAGGCCAGTTGTCCAAAATGTCAGTCTCTTCCTTTACAACAAACATGGTAACATCAGATGGGCAAGATCAGTGGTAGGGTCTGTTCTGAGTGGTGCCTGCTCCTCGTGTGGACAGCCCTTTAGGGATGGACAGATGAGCAGCAGCTGCGGGGCCAGCAAGCGGTCAGGAGCTGAGGAGTGAGTTGAATGACGGTAATTGCGTGGGGTGGGGTGAGTCTCCAGGCTGCAACATCAAGTGGGCGGGGCCCCAGCACTCGGTGTTCCCCTCTCTGGCTCCTCCTCCTCTAAGGTTTCCTGACCGACAGCCTTCCCATGTGACTGCTGCCGCCTTTCCCTAAGTCTGGTCCTGCTTTCAGGTTCCTCTCAGTGCAGCCTCGGCCTGAGGTCCCCTTCCTCTTGCATCCACGTGTGTGTTTCAGAGGCGGCAGCCCTTCCCTACTTCCAGATCCTTGTAGGGCGGTTGGTGGAGGGTGGGAGGCACCCCGGTGTTGCCTCCATGAAGCCCTGTGCCAGTCACCAGTCTGCAAGGCTTAGGAAATTGTGTCCGTGTCGGAGAAAGCTCCTCGGCTCAGAGGTGCTGGTGCCTCCTGGGTGGTGGGAAGTTGGCGGGAAGAGGCCCTCTTGCTCCTGTTTTCTTTGTCCTTGTGAGACCTGAGAGTCTGTGTCATCTGTGCCTTGCGTGTCTTTGTTTCAGACACCCTGCGACAAGGACTGTGTACTGCATGAATGAGGCCGAGATAGTCGATGTTGCTCTGGGAATCCTGATTGAGGTAAAGTCAGCCAAGCCTCTTACTCATGACCAGAAACTCTGCATGGGCAGAAGCTAGACTAGGCCCTTGGTCACCGTCAGTAAGAGAGACACCCTCTGCTGTAGGCTACCTTTTTCTCCTGCCACTTGCCTCGCTCTTGTGTCGCCATGTTCCCCAGGCCTCTCCCCATGTGGTTGTGTGCTCACGGGGTGAGTCTTTGGGGCTAGATGCACGGGAGGGCATGCGTGTGTTAGGGAGAGCGTGACTGCGCGCTAGTGTGTATGTGGATGGGACATGAAGCCTTTACCTGTTTGTGTTCTTGGAAAGGTTCCCAGTTGGGTAGGTGACTTCTTAACCGTTGCCCCTCTCCTGAGCAGAGGCTGCTGAGCTTCCTGGCTTCCTGCAGTAATAATTGCAGTGCCTCAGAGTTGCACAGCATTCTGCAGTTTACCCAGTGCCTTGAAAGCGTGTGTGATGTCATTTGGGCCTTGCAGTAACCCTGTGGTGTGGGGCTTTTCCTAGTGCTAAGGCATGGGCCCACACCTAGGTTTTGTATCCTGGGCTCCTTCCATTCTGTCACCGCCCCTTCTAGACATGTTTCTTCCATTTCTTTTTCCTTTCCCCTCACTAATCCTCATGCCTCTGCTTGCTTCTCTCCCAAGTGGGTCCTGGTTTCTTCAAGAGCTGTGAAGAGGGGGTGCGGGGAGGAGTGGGGTGAAGAGAGGGTAGGTGCTCAGGATATGGGTGCATTGCCTGGCCTGATCACACTGGCTTTGTAGTTGCTTCTGGATACATCCTGCGTGAGTCACTGACAGACAGATCAGCATGTTAGGGAAATAAAACGTATGTTGAGCCTGCCGTTTCCTGTACTCCGCAGAGCCGCAAAAAGGAAAAGGCCTGTGAGCAGCCGGCCCTGGTGGGTGCTGATAACCCAGAGCTCTCCCCTCCCTGCTCCATGTCGCCTCACACAAGTTCTGGGAGCAGCAGTGAGGAAGAGGACAGTGGGAAAGAGGCACTGGCTGCAGGCCTCAGCCCTTCCCAGAGGCCAGGGGATTCCAACTCTGCCTGCAGCAGGAGCCCCGAGGAGGAGGAGGAGGAAGAGGATGTGTTGAAATACGTCCGGGAGATCTTTTTCAGCTAGGGCATAAACTGTGCACTCAACTTTCTGCTGAGAGCAGCTGGAGGACAGCTGAGCTTCCACTGGTGCTGCTGGGCCACCCGCCTGTGGGAATGGGGCTCTCTGTGCTCCTAGCTTTGTGCCTTCTTGGGCCTGGTGGATTCATGTCAGGCCAGAAGTCTCCGGATGCTCCAGGCCTCGGGGCTGCCATTCTGAGTGTGCAGAAGGCAGGACTCAAAACAAGATCCCATTCGAATCCCGCTGTATGTACTGCATCCTCTTCCAGCTCTGAGGCTCTGGAATCCCAACTGTCTGTGTTAGTCAGTCACCAGGTTCCAGGGAAAATGATGTCATTTGGTGGTCCAACTTACTGGAACCAAAGAGACAGAACTTTTCAAAGAAAAGGATCACTGCCAGGTGCACTGGAATTACTAGTTTAGTCCACATGATCTCTCCTGGAGGAAGCCTGTTTAAAAAATAGTTTCCATCATGAGTCAATCAATGAGCTCCCACCTCTCCAGCCAGCCTAGAAAGCAAACGAGCTGCCCACAGTTCTCTGCCGTGTTTGGGAGGTTGAGGCCACAGTGTTTGGACTGGTAAGCCAGACAGGCCCCCTCCCCCAAGCTGCTACCTTGCTTTCACATGTACCTTGGTTCCTGGGCAGCTAGTTATAAAGCAAGAGGGACAGGAGCCCAAAAGAGACACTAAGGACAAGAGATCACACCAGAGTACATGTTTCTGCCTTTGTTTTCAGTGTGGCTTTGGACAGGAATAAATGAGTGAATCATTTGCCATACAGGTTTTCCAATGTGCAGGTGCTGGAAAATACACACAATTCCCCAGTGCTTAAGTTGTGCTAATGTCTTTCCCAGTTCCGGGCTGAGAAGTGGAGGGTGGCAGCATTTGTATGTGTGCAACTGTCCAGTCCTGATCACACCGAGGATTTGGTGTCCTCCAGGGTCTCATCATGGGAGTGATTTGCCAGCGGATGCCTCTGCCCTGACTGGCTTCAAGTCCAGGGAAGCTTTGAAGCAACCAAGGCTTGTCTTTGTGCTCCATGTGTCCTGTCTTTGTTGAGTCACTCAGAGATCACTCCTGGACCTCTGGGGTTGGAATCCCAGTGACGGCTTATGGCGGCCCACTCACCATCGTGGGCTGAGCGGAAGCTCCTTAAGCAGGCCCCCAGAGGCACTGAGGTGCTCGCTCTTTTAATATCCTCATTTGTTTCCGTAAGTCTTTGCTAGGTTTCAGTTTGGCATTTGGTGAATCAGCCTGGAATTCTGACCTCATGACAGGAATCACTCCCTCCCCACCCTCCTGAAGCTAGAGGAAGATTTGCTCAGACCCATTAATTAAAGCAGGAATTGGTATGACAATGAGCTGCGTGGTTTTAGGGAGTCCTTGGGAGCCTTGGAAGTTGTGAAGGACAGACAATCCTATACTAAGAAGCCGCAGGTGCCCTGGCTGCCCTTGCTGCCCCTTGGCCTCTTTGACACGGGGGCCCCACCTCCTCTGCAGTAGGTTCCATCTGCTGGAGCTGGAGATCAGTGTTAGCTATGAAATGAGATGGCTGAACAGATGTGCCACCTCCGACCATGGTTGGAACTGAACCCTTGCAATCACATAAGCCTTTAGCAGCTCTCAAGCTCACTGTAAGCCCTGTAAGCCCTTAGAGGGAACATAACCGTGGCCATTAACAAGAGGATGAGTAAGGCCTGGGCGCTGCCCAGAGCTAGAAACCCAGGCCCCAGGAGGGAGAGCCTGACCCACTTCCACACATAGGAGAGGAAGAGGCCCAGGCCGCTGGCCAGCAGCATGGAGGACACAGCCAGGAAGCCCACTGCTAGCTGCCACTCTCTGTCATTACCATTGCACCAGGCTAGGAGGAGAGGCTGAAAGGAAAAGAGGGTGAGGACCAGGGCCCCGTACACGCCAAGCCTGGCCAGGGCCAGGCCAACCAGAGGCACCCCCAGGGCCTCCAGCTCAGGGAACTGGTGACACTGTAGGCTGCCGGCATCCTCATTCCACAGGCAGAAGTTGTAGAAGCCTATTCGCAGGTTGGGCAGGTCAATGAGGTCCCCAGACTTCCAGAGGAGAGCGTAGAACATCAGGCAGATGACCACAACTGTGAGGACAATGATGCTCATGAACAGCGGCTGGTCGCCCCACCGAGGCCTTGGCCTGGCCATCTCTCCTGCCCTCTGCGGGGGGACCTGTGGGGAGGTCACAGCAGTCAGTCTATCTCTGCTTCGCTTGCCCCCTGTGTCCTCACAAGCTCATGTTCTCCCTTTGGCATTTCTTATAAACCCATGACAAGCTTCCCTCCTACCCTGCCCTCCGCCAAGGACCAGAAATCTGAGGTAACCTCGTGCCAGGAACTATTTGCTAATAAGTCATTAGCTGCCCTCTGATTTGAGGTCTGGAGGAAAAGTCTCTCCCAAGCAGCTTTGAAAGTGTGAAACATCTTCAACTGAGTGAAGTGCTCTTTAGCCAAAGACTTTGCTTCAGTCGAAATACAACAAACCATTGGAAACAGTGAGGGGATTTCTCAGCTCTTTTTTGAAGGTGGGTTTTGACTGAGGTGAAGGGCAAGTCCCACCCTTAATGGGGACTTGAAGGTGGAGGAAGCTATTGGTTTTCACCACAGCTGCCGAGACAACCACCTGGGGAGCTGTAAGAACTACCCATTGCTGGGCCACAGATCAATCAGAGCCCAACTTCCGTGCTTAGAGCTGGGCACTAGTGTGTTTCTGAAGCTCTGCAGCTCATTCGAAGGTGAGCCTGGGTCAAGGACCACTGACACACGCACTCTGATTTTACCTGTGGTGCTCTGGGAACTCATTAGTGGGTCAAGACAAGATGTCACCTGGTGATGAAATCCCATCATATACTCATTACTTTAAAAACTAACACAATTTTTTTCCTGACAATAGTAGTATATGTTAATTATAGAAAACTTAGAAGTTTTTGTTTGTTTGTTTGTTTTTGAGGTGGAGTCTCGCTCTGTCACCCAGGCTGGAGTGCAGTGGTGTGATCTTGGCTCACTGCAACCTCTGCCTCCCGGGGTCAAGCGAGTCTCCTGCCTTAGCCTCCCGAGTAGCTGGGACTACAGGCACCCGCCACCATGCCTGGCTAATTTTTGTATTTTTGGTAGAGATGGGTTTCACCATGTTGGCCAGGCTGATCTTGAACTCCTGACCTCAAATGATCCACCCACCTTGGCCTCCCAAAGTGCTGGGATTACACCATGCCTGGCCAGAAGATATTTTTTAAATAATAAAAAAGATAACCTTTTATCCCACCATACACATAAAACCACTGTTAATAGTCTACCAATATTTTCTTCCTGTGCTGATGTATTTTTACATAATCATGGTGTTGAACGTAATGTTTTTCTCTAGATTTAGTAAACATTTTTCAAAGCTGTTAAATATTCTTCAAAAACACGATCAATGGCTATGTAATAGTTCATGTGGAATCATCCATTACACTATTATTAGACAAATTGTTTCCACTTTTCACCATTATAAGTGGTCAGTGAAGATGCTGTGTGAATCGTGTTTGGAATCTGATTTTTCTCAGGTGATCTACCTATAAGTGCAATAATTGGATCAAGGGTAGAAATATCTTTTAGTGATCTTACTAAATACTGCCTAACTGGCCTACAGAAAACTTGCTAATCATAGGCCCTCTAGTTGTATATGAAAGTGCCGACTTTGTTATACTCTTTTAAAAAATTCTTTTCACTCCTTTTTAAATCAGAAGGGCTTTGTCCAGTTGGCCTCTGAAACAGTGGTCTGCACACTGTACCTTTACATATGTGTATTTTTCAATATGGGATAAGGTTTGGCTGATATGGTTTGGCTGTGTCCCTACCCAAATCTCATTTTGAATTGTAGTTCCCATAATCCCCACATCGTGGGAGGGACCCAGTGGGAGGTAATTGGATCATGGGGATGGGTTTCCCCCATATTGTACTCATGGTAGTAAGTCTCATGATACCTGATGGTTTTATAAAGGGCAGTTCCCCTACACATGTTCTCTTGCCTGCTGCCATGTAAGATGTGCTTTTGCTCTTCCTTTGCCTTCCGTCATGATTGTGAGGCCTCCCCAGTCATGTGGAAATGTGAGTCCATTAAATCTCTTTTTCTTTACAAATTACCAGGCATCTCTTCATAGCAGTATGAAAATGGACTAATACAACAGCATTCACACCGGGAAGTGACTAGGAACACAGACCTTCAAGCTTTGTGAGGCATGAGGTACTGGGGCCATGATACCAAGTGGCCTCCTGGAAGCCCTGGCAAGGAGTTCCAGGTGGTGTTCAGCAGCAAAATGAGTGGTGGCCCTGGAAAGGGACCTGAAAACTACACAGCCCTGATGATCAGCTTCTGAGGGGAGCCCTCTGGGGGAAAAGCCCCCTCCTCATTCCCAGAGCTGACTGGAAGGTCTGTCCCATTCCACACACTGCATTTGTTACAGGAAGGGACCAACTGGGGTAAAAAAAGAACATGGAACAGGCTGAGAGAGAGGGCGGCTCCATTCAAAGGACCTATGCCAAAAATGAGAATAAAGATTGACCAGTGACTTCTTTGATAGAGACCTGGGCACCCTGGCCAGTGAAGAGCTGGGGCCTGTGAGTACAGCAAAGGAGTCCACATTGCCACCACCTCCCCTCAGATGCCGCTGCTCTGGGCTCAGCAGCACTGGGCAGTCTGCCCAGTCCGGCCCATGGCTTTTGCTCCAGAGGAGCCCAGTGGGGACAGTCGGAGTGGAGGAGTGAGGGGCTGTCCCACTGGAAGCCCTGGCCGCTGCCTTGGGTGGCACTGTTTCTCAAACGCTCTGGAGGCCCCAGAGGGCCAAGGGTCTGAAGACTTGGGTTTGAATGGAGTTGAGAGATTCTTGGAGCAATGATACTTGTTACAGAAGGATTTACTGGGAACTGAAAAGGTGGCATTAGTCTGGGATGATAAGGAGTTTTAACCCTTTGAGTCCATGGTATAGGAAAAATTGCCATCGGGAACATATTTTGTATGGTTTTGCTTATTTAGTAAATGTTTGTAAAAGCCTATATCTGTGCTTTTAATGGGTTTGGGTATTTTAGGGTGTGGAATAGATTTCCAGGACTTCTCTGATTTATGACGTCATGCTGTGGAAAAGAAGGTTTGACTTCCTCCATTGTTCAGGACCAACTGGGAAGGGACTTGGGGATGCCTTTGTTTAAACACTCCCTCTCACTTTTCCCATTTGAATTCTGTTACACTGGGGTTCCAAAAAAATTATTAAACATTTTGCTTTGAAAACAGAGCTCCCTTTTTAAAAATTAATGTGGCTTCTCAGGGGGAGATTGCATCAGCCACCTTGCGGCAGCTCCTGCCAGGTGCCAGGAGCCTTTGTTTTGACTTCCTCATTTTCTCTCAACTGACCTTTTAATGTAGAGCAAAACAAAACGAGCCAAGAAGCCCAGGACCAGGCATATGGAGAAGGTGGTGGCCCCTCAACCTTTTTATATTCAGTCCCAGCTCCTATGAGGCTCGCCACCATCTGGTGCGACTTGGAACTTGAACTTGGAATTCTCTAGTGAGGCCCAGCTTCCACTCTTGCCTTGTGCAGTCCAGCACCTGCTTAGCTGCTCAGGCTGTGTATGAATACATTCCCATCTGCCCATCCTCAGCCACCCCCCAGCTCCTAAATTCCTACCCTACTTTCTGCTTCTCTAAATCCGATCCATGCAGCCTGAGCATTCCTGGGCTCCTTCAGCCCACACTCTGGTTTAGCTCTAAATTAGGATTTATTCTCCACTCTAGTGTCACATCTCTGAGGAACAATCTTCATCTGTTTTGTTA